GAATGGGAAAGGTGGGGTCAGACACAGAAATAGAGAAAAAATGAAGTTTTTCCAGTGTTGCTACAGGAGATAAACATCTACCTACTGATTTTACTTATTTTTTCATTTTAGGGTGAGAGGTTGTTTCTGTTTCTGGGCTTTTTTGAGATGACATTAGGGTCAGAAGAAAGCATTAGGATCATTCAAGTTCGATTGCTTCTGTTGCAGGCTGAAAAATTTCACCCTCATTTTCCCCTCAAGCCCACGACTTCAGGATTAGGCTTGTTTCTAAATGCTTACCAGAGCAACTCAAAGCTGGAGACAGGCCCAATAACTCCAAAGGATTTGTCTTCACTAACTTCTCCACAGCTTGAACTACAGCTGTTTTCCTTTGCAAATTCCACCTCTCAATTGCCAGAGCATCAGGAGAAGAAAGGAGCAAAGTGCTATGGTTGGAAACAAAAGCTCAACACGGAGACAAATGATCAACATGGCAGCAAAAGATCAAATCCCATTTTGCTGCCAGCAAAACTCTGCTCACTAATGCACTGATCTAGCTCCTCCTGTGCTTCACCAGAACACTTGAGGTTGGACTTTCTTTTTTCATCCTCAAGGCTACAGAACAAAGTTATGAGCCAACCAAGACTAAAAGGTTTCTCTGCACCTCTGGAACCAGCATCTAATTTCTCTGACCTATTTAAAAAAACACATTAAAGTCTCTGCTGGAAGTAAAAAACAGGTTCTTTATTTGAATCTTGCATGCCCCACCTGACCACAGTTCGAAGCAGGCCCCAACCATTCCTTAAGCAGCCGAGGAAATGAAATACAAAACATTAAACAATGCAGAGGGTCAGACTTAAACCAACAAAGACAAGGAAATTGCAAGTTAAGCCTCCTGCTCTGCCCTTGATTCACCTTGTTTTGTTCAACTACTGCTCTGTTCCCAGACCCTTCCTCTCTCCTGATACCCAAGACCAATAGGACAAAGCAAACAGCATGGTCTAAACATAGATGGTGTTTGTTCCTATCAATTAGGCTGGGTTTTGATGTACATTACAACAATTTTACCTGGTTTGGAACTTTGCAAAGCCCGGATGTTTAACAATTTCTTGTACAGTTTGCATTGTCCAAGGACAACAGAGTACAAATGACCTGGGGCACCTGGAGGGGAAGATTCCCATCACCCAGTTTTACCCCTCTAAAAATTGGGCACTGTCTAAGCTAGTCGTCTCCTCCCTGTCTATACACCAGTTTGTTTTGACGATTTTAGGATGGAAGAAGCATGCTCTGGGGGTGCCAGTCTTCTCATTGCTTGCAGAGGTCTGAAGAGCTAGCTTAGCTAGCACTTGCCTGAATTTTTAGCTGGCTGACATCAAACAAGATGGATCTCATCCTCCTCTAGTAATCATCAGTCAGTTGCTATGAAGCAAGCACTTGAGTCTCCAGGAGAGCCAAGACCTCAATCCCCCGATGCATTCAACATTGCTCAGCAAAGTGTGCAGCGGTTTAACACTAAGCAGGTCGTTGAGGTCGGAGGCAATACTCATCTGGCTGGTATGAGATATGCGACCTAGGTCTCTGCTGCATTAGAAGGGCACAGTGCTCAGCCCCTTTCAGGACCAGAGCACAAGAAAAGAAGGAAAAAACCAGGAGTAGTGCAGTCTGTTCCTTCCATGGCTACAGGAAATTTCTTTTCCATTTTGCATGGAAAGTGCATGCACAGGTACACTTACATTGCCTTAGAGCAGATTCAACTACATCTCAGTGCTTCCAAACAGAATTTAAGTTAAATTTTGATACAAAAGCCAGCAAAGGTTTATTCAAAATGTTTATGAAAAGTAAGAAATCTGAACAGTTGCAGTTCACAGTGATGAAGGATCAGAGAAGTTTCATAAATCCAACCTGCAAGTTTATTTTAATAGCAATAAACATTAAATGTGTAACGTAAAAGGATAATTGCTATCACTGAGGAAAAATTACTGTCTTGGAAGCTATTATTTTTGCAGATATCTAAACTATTGGAAAAAACTGGGGGAAGAACTTGGGGTTTGGGTTTTTGTTTTGCTGTTTCCCCGTACACTCACTGACTTAAAAATGCAGTCACAGTATCTTGAGTGAGATAGATATAGGCATGTTTTGTTATATAGCTTTTTACATATCGTCACTGTACAGATATCTATCAAGCAGTGAGAGACAGACTCATCCACATGACAGCTACAGAACAGAACTCAACAGAAAATTTTAAGATGTAGGACTTGGAGTAGCTGAGGCAGGGTCACATTTGGATGTAAATAGTTTGCAAATCTACCTATGCTATTCAAGTCCTGAAGCACTTGGGATGGAAATACTGCAGCATAATGAAAAGATTTCCAAAAGAAAGATTCTTACAGTCTTGTTTGTCACCCAAAGTCCCATTACAAGCACATCTGGTTTCCTATTTCCAGCAAGGCTTCTAGAGTAACAGTGCAAGAACATAGAGCGCAGTTTGGCTGGTAGTCCAGATGTGCTCCTTCCCCATCCCCATGGGGATGAGGACCCTCTATAACCAACATCTCCAACACAAGGGGATGCAGCATCAGGACAAACCTCACATTCCACTATCCTGCACAAAGAAAAATAAAATGTGAATGATACTTGTCTTCCTGCGAAAAAAGATTACAAGGTGCAGTGGGGAAAAAGAAGCAGCACTGAAATGCTGGCAAGCTTACATTTTTCCTAATTAAAATGAAAAGCAATCTTTAAAATAAAGGCCTCGAAGACAGTCATTTTTCTTCACAGATAGCATATATGGTTTACAGTCATAGTCTGTATATGCAACACTTTAGTAATGGATTAAAACAGAAGTTTCATAAGCTTGTACAGAAATGCACTAAAGAGCATTTCAAAATTTGTGCATTAAGAAAGCATATATACTACATAAAAGGAGAAACATGGGCTAGATATCAAGTGCTGTTACAAATTTAGGAAACACTAAAAGCATCTTTTATTCTCAATATACTGTGGGAGGGATCCAACACAGGACACAACTGCTTAACTGGAAAAAACACACATGCTCAAAGCCTACAGCCTGCCTTCTGATCACATGCAACTAATTACCATCGCAGGGCTTCTCCAGAAGGCTTTAAAGAAGGGCCAAACTACCAATCCATCACTTTAAAATACAGTTAAAAAGATTCCTCCATTTCTTCTTTACATTGTCTTTCAACAGGACAAATCTTCGCATGGCACAGTGTAAAACTAAAATCTTAGAAAGATGAAAGACACAGACAAGAGTACCATTTTGGGGACTGAAGACGTGCAAAACATGCTGGTGAACTGTTGTGGGAAACATCTGCATTACACAGGGAATGAGGTCCACTCTGAGGATCCAGCAGTGTCTCTGCTTTGCATTTCTTTCCTCAGCTGAAGATATTTGCCAAAACAATGCATTTCTCAATGCTTTCCAGCTGTAATTCAAACTCTCTCCCCTACTGCTGGATCTTACTCTTCCAGGAACATCTCACAATTCAGTCACTGGTAATAGGTCTTCCATCACAAAACCACAGAGGCATCCTTTATTATTTGTACTATTTCCACAAGCATCCAGGGTGTTAACAAGCAGCATA